GACCTTAAATGCTAATAACCAGGGGCACATTTGCGGGCATTCGGAGGACTCACTTACGAGAGTGAGTATAGCGTCACCCAAATGGAGGTACTGCATATGATCGGCACCCTGAAGCTGTTCCCCCTTTACGATTTAGCCAACTGCGTCATTTCCATTGCAGAATCCCCACTTTTGCGCAGCATTTGATAAATGTCCGCCCCCAAGGTGATTAGCACCGGCCCTTTTATTGACCATTTTAATTTTTTCTACCCAACCTCGTTATTACGACATAAGTATCGGAAAGATTGAGGGTCGTTAAACGACTGCAAATTAATCTTCTGGGCAGCGAAGGCATACATGCTTGCTATCGTGCTTGCTGTCGGGTATTGCCTCGTATCACAGTTGAGTACGTTTGCAAGCTCGAGTGCACGGGGGCCTTCTCTGCAGGTCTTGACTCTTCAGTACAACCTACTGCTAATTTGCCCAGTTGTAGAATTCCCTGCCAGCCGAATAACTCGAACATGACTTTTTCTTTGATACTCGAAGTGTTTTTCGATTTTTCACTGTCCAGACCAGCTTGTGACTCATGCACTCCCCCCACTGGGAATAGAAAAAATTCCAATTTAAAAATCCTGAAATCAGCCTTCCGGCTGTTCATTGTCTTTAGTGAGTTGAACAAAAAGTTATTTGCCTAGTTGGATAACAAAGGACAATGCTTCTACCACACTGTGATGATAAATGCTCCTTTACTTGTTATTCTGCTCTGTCACGCTATTTTGGATGTTGTTTCGCCACAACAGCTTCCTTCTTTGCCCACTTTTGCAATCAGCACTGCCAAATATACACCCAGGCACAGATTGGGTTCATTTTTTTGGGGGGCGGGGGATGGGGAGGGTAGATCTTGGACTCATAATGTGTATCTTCTTCTACCGTATTCACAATGTACTCGATTGTAATCGATTTCCTTTCGTCGCGCCGTTTCATTCACAAGTCTTGGATTTTGATGAATGTTACAGCGTAAATCGCAGAGCAGCATAAGCACTATACTGGCTCTCGTAATGACTGCACTTGTTGATTCGGAAGCGGTGGATTCACCGTCGCCTCTTCCTTCCAAAAGTCTACTGAAACGATTTCGTAAACGACTTCTCAGTGTTGATGGAAAAGCGAGTAAGCGAAATGTTTTTCGTGAAGAATTTGATGTTCATTTATTGATTCTTTGTGTAATGCTCCACAGTTAGGCAAATTTCTGTGAATTTTATGCTCTGCAAATCAGCGTTTGGCGTAATTTCATTTTTCGCATATTTTATTTTTTCCTTATTTAAAGGCGCCGGGTTCGACTGCCTGAAGTAGCAGATCTGCCATATTTCATTTTGGGCAGATTCATACCGGTAGAAGTGTGCCATTTTCGGCACACAAAGGTGCGTTTCAAGAAAGCTAGAAGCTTGTGATAGTTTGATATTACCGATGTCTCTGCCCACCAATTGACACGCCGCAGCTACTCTGCTCTTCTGCGGCCTCTCATGTGAGGTGGGGCTTTGGGGACGGATTTTTTAGGAAACTTCTTGAGCAGTCTTTCAGTGATAATTTGTAGAATCTAATGTAAGAATCTTCAGGTTTTACTGACATGAATCAAAGTCGCAGAGCGCTGACTCCTCGATGAGAAGGCGTAGGCGTGCGGCGCATATCAGGTGTTCGTGTGGCGTATAGGAGACGAAATTAGTGGGAACGAATTATCGTAAGCCTCTTGCCGCGTACTTTCGAGCGGCGAAATCGGCACATTTTACGGCTACGAACCTACTCCTTGATTAGGAATTATAGCTGGAAAGCCTCGCTACGGTGGACGTTACGTTCTCACTCCAAAAATCAAAAAAATATCCGCTGAAACTCCTATAGATGTTATTCAGTGCCCTGACGGACACGACTTTCGTTTTTGTCGCTGAGGCCACTCCGCGCCAAATGGCGCCAAATAGGCGCTATGGTTTTTTTTACCAAAACTGATGAAAACTTGCGTAATAGGTTGATATGATATCTCGCCATTTTTCGACAGGAGTGCAATTCAACGATTTGCTAAGGCTGAGCTTGAGAGAAGCCAGTGATTCCCTTCCCTCTGCTCAGCCATAGCAGAGCGCGTATGATTGGAGTGCCCTATATCAACGCCGAAACGGAGAACGAAAATGGCCTCAGCGTCACAAACAAGCTCGATATACGTGATCCGAATGTGAAATAACTCCCGTATGCAAATTTTCATCGAATTTTGGTTGGAGGTTTTGGTGCTTGCGCCAAAAATGGAGACCATGTTCGTGATCAGGACTTCTGAATAGCCTCTGGGGCGAAGTCCTAGCGGAAATTTTCCCTAGAGTTTTTGGAGTCGTAATACTGGAATAGTGCCGACTTTTCTTACGCGACAATAAAAAACCTCGATTGAAGGAACTACGTTCCACTACCTCGCGGAAGGTAATGGAAAACATCTATTCATCGGGAAGGTGCACTCAGTTGTACTTTCGAATAACCTCTAATTTATTGCCCTTCTAGAGCCTATCTCCATTGTTTCAATTTTTTTTCTAGATGAAAGTTCAGATTTTTTGAAAGGGTGTTGCAATCTCAAGGTAATAATTGGATTATCCCGAAGCGGAAGTAATAGCGTTGAAGGTTAAGTGATGCAGTAACAAAGGCTGAAAGCTAATAACGCGACAACTGTTACATTGGAAGAGAGTTCATTTGTTTCTCGGCTGATAAGGAGCCGAAGCCACTTTCATACTTCGCGACTCAAGTGTCCAATCGCGCGATATTCAGATAACGGGGCTGTGAACGACCACGTCCCATCGCTGCGGCTGCTGATTCAGCCACATTCCTAGGTGCTTTTCGTTCAGCGGTCCAACGAGTAGCGTCGGATTCGGCGGTCGGGTCGCAAACCTGCGGCGACAAGTCGCTGGAGTCGCAAAGTATGGATTTTGTCTGAGAGAGCAAGATACCGTTGATTTTCAGGTGCGCTCCCAGCGACATCTCGAAGTTCCGATGATCAATCATCTCCACGTCGTCCACTCTATGTAGACATTCCGTTAGCAAATGGTTTGAATGACAAGCGAAAAAGCCCGGTGACGAGTGTCGTTGATTTTGTTCGAGGACGTAATCGCACGGCTTCGGTGAGTAACTTTTCAGAATTTTTCACCTTCGGGTAAGGTAGTCAAATTCGTGGATTTTCATCCCCTTTTTCATGTTGTCATTCTCTAGATTTGGTTATATTATCTGTTATGGAATTTTTTTAAGGAAAATTCAATTATTGCGAGCACATTAGAAGGAATAAAAGGAGGGCAGAAAAAAAACCTTACAGTTTCAGGAGGGGGAGGGGGGGGGGTGGGCTTGAAATGGCCCTACAGGTTCGAAGGGACGAGCAAGGCTGGATCAAGGGATGAAATTTCCACTCATTTCTTTATTTTGGCCCTTTTTCGCGGGCGCTGGAGCTGCTCCGATGTTCTAAGTTCTAAAACGCGACAAAATGAAAAATACGCTTAGTAAGTTTTAAATCTGAGTGGTGGGCAGCGATAAGTACAGTGCACTTCTCAGCGGACGGTGGGGCGGTCCTAAGGCCACGCTGGCGAGCGGCCCGATAATTGCCTATTGGTGGAAGGCTTCAAAAACCTTGCCTATGCGTCTCTTACTCTACACTCTGCGCTCTGACACACACGCCGCCGCACCGTCTATTCACCTTTTCCGCCTCTGGACTCTTCAGCGAGATCGATAATTTCTCGCTCGTTCAGCTGATTCCTGGCCGCCAGTATTTTTGCTATATTCAGCTTGTAAAAGCTGAAACATCCGGTTTCAGTCTCAATTTTCAATGATGAAGTTAGCGAATTTCAAGAGTTGAGGATAGAGTCCAAAATGAAAAGAAAAAAGTAACGACGATCCAACGCAGTTTTCACGAAAAATCATCGGGAAAAGCGGGCCCATGAGGCGAATCTTGAGCTCTCAGCGAGTCAGAGATGGTTCTGCGATAATACGATGATCAAACTCTGAGACACTGCTTCGGAAACCGGTCAATAACATAAAGAATGGGATATTAAGGAAAGTTTGGAGAAATTGCAAAAATCGAAAGAAAAACAAGTTTCCTAGGGGAATTTCATGCTAAATTCATGCAAAATGTGGAACCGTTTCAGTAAGAATACTCACCTTCGAACATTGAAGTCAAAAGTCGAAAAATTTCAGCTTTAACAAACTGAATCTAGCAAAAACTGCGATGCGGCAGGAATCAGCTGATCGAGAGCGTCAGCAACTATCGATCGGTAAGAGTCCAGAGCGGAAGAGTGGGTAGACGGTGCGGCGGCGTGTGGTAGAGCGCAGAGTGCACAGTAAGAGACGGAGAGGCAATGATGATAATCTCCCGAAAATTTTCGGCTCCCCATCGACACGCAATCACCGGAACGCTCGCCAGCGTGGTCGAGTAACGCCCACGTCCGTGAGCGCTCCACCTGTAGTGGTAATATTTGGGGGTACATTAAAAACAGTAAATGTCAAAAACTGGAGCGAAGTTCTATATAGAGTCGTTTTGGGCTAGAACTAGCAACATATTTCGCTAGGTAGCTTGATTGCATATTTGCAGCTCTTCGCGTTACATCATTAGGTCCGTGTCGCGATCCGAAACGTCCTCGATATTCGACGAACATTTTTTGCCGCTTTTTTCGCTCAAGCTGTACGCCTATTCTTGGCACAGTTCCATGTTAACCTCGCACCAAGCTTCATTTCTGTTGAGTATAAGTTTTTTTCGCACTTTTTTTTTTACTGTTATTCTTAAATTTTCCAGTTTCAGCGGAGTTTGTGTAAGGAGATTTAGCAGTTAATTCGAGAAGTTCTAACTCCTAACAAGGCCTGAGGTCTGATTTGAGGCAGCCTTGAGGCACAGTAAGAAGGAACATGTGGTTGGATCAGTTGTGTCGATCTTGGCGACTAGGTTTTGTTTTGTTTTACACAGCTCTGTCACATGGGTTCGTCTCAATCACGTTATCATATGCAGGTGTGTACCTTGATGATAGGACCGGAGAGCTCAAGTGAAACTGCTGCGTATGATATTATTAATCACGTAGAAGCGGGGCCAAACGGGTGATGTAAACCGATGTAACGATCCGGGCCAACCATGCGTTCCTTTGGGGGCCAGTTTTCACCACTCACGCAACGGCGGGCCCATTGACCGCTGGAAAGGGAAGGGTGTTGCTATGAGGCTTTTTCTCTGCTCGTTGATTTGACGGTTTCAGCGGAGAATGGACGTGATGGGAAACACATGGGGAAAAATTTTGAAAGAGGTTCGTATTTTGCAGACATTATTTCCAGCGTGGTGTGGTTTGGCTACGCCGGGAGCGTTCAAAGGGCTGTTGCGCGATTGGCTTTTCCTACTTAGGCCTAAATGCTGGGTGGAGGCGAGCGCTGTGCTAGTGGGGAAATGGCGAAGGAAGCCGGAGTGAAGCGGTCAAGAATCACTGCGACAGAAAAGCTTGCTTTTCATGACTCAGAAAGGATTTTTGGACCGAGTTTCCCTGCTCCCTGCTGACATGGTGGTATACGGCGGTATGGTAATACAGCTGCACTTATACTTTGGCGCCCGTGTCAGGCAGTGTTACGTGTCACGCCGTCAAAGCCGTTCTCTGCCTTCTTGTTGAAGCGCGCATGCGACAAAAAGTGGTAGAAAACGAGTAATACGAACGATATGATACAGTCATATCACTTGCTCGCTTTAACAACTGGTGGAGAACGGGTTGGCACCGCGCCAAACTCATCCCGCCTGATACGCCCAACCGTCCGCAGCGAACTACACTATATATGTACTCATATATCCGTGCAGCACCCCCGGCTGCTTCATATCAATCCCTTCGCTTCATATTTTACTTCGCCATCAAGTACGGTCGCGTTGTGAGCGGATGGGCGCTGTGGCGTTCGGGTCAGTATGTCGCAGCTTGATAGGGCGCTATGAGGGTACCTTCCTTCGAAAAGGCGTTACGCAGCCCTTGCTCAGATAAACGAAATCCGGCTCTGAAAGGCGTATCAGTCCCACTCATCTTAAGGATTTGGTATCATTCGCGGGGCATACCTGCGCTTACGACTCCCGCCGCCTCCTCATTTGCGGTCAATTACGACTCCCACATTGTGATTACCACAAAGATGTCGAGAAAATACAAAAGATGATCTGGTTCCTTCGCTGCATAGCAATAAAACAAAATGATAGAAGTGGACCCAGCTTATGGAAGCGGAGCTAGCTTGTCGTCACTCAGTCGTGGCGCATTTATCAAGCACTTTCAAGTCGCAAAAGTAATACATCCTGTACGAACGCCGACCATTCCACTTCGTGCAGCGAATGGCTCCGCATGTCAGAAATCGGGGGCGCTCTCTTTGGAGCCGATTTTTCAAACAGTTTTCTAGAGCTTTCCTTTTCTCTAACAGACGATTTCTCCGCGTTCTGCAAGGCATGGTTTGTGAATTAGATGAAACAAAAAAAGAACGTTAAAACACAGGCGGCAAACTGTACCATTACTTTCTTTTCAACCTAAGAGCATTTCGAAAAAAGTGTGGCTGCAGTAGGTAGGTGATCAAATTATGAAGTTGAACTAATAAGTATTGAATCAGCAGTAAATTGAATTATTGCCTTTTATGCTTCCGTGACGAATAGTTTCGCTGGTAAGAAACAGGCATGTTGAACATTTTTGATGGATAGTGATAATTTTCATTTCCGCTTTCCATTTCGTTCTTGTGCTGCACTTGATTGGCTTCGTGGAACAATTAGTTTTATCCTGATTGACAGTCAGAGGGGAAAGAGCAATGGACAAGCACGTACATCTCTGTGGGAGTTCGGGAAAGTAGTGAATTTTCATTTTTTTCGCCGGGGTGCTGGCAGTGTGAAGCAATGGTGGTCCATTCTGGAGATCTTTAGGACCGCAGAGATTTTTTTGAGAAAAATTTGAGGCACTCTGAACCCTGTCCTCTTTGAGTTTTCGTGTTTTTTCCGATAGACTACTGCTTCGCTGGCGCGTGGTTAGTCTTTGGTCCTCAGGAACAACTTTGAAAGTGGGACAAAGTACGAAATAGTTCCGCGTACCAACTGCTCGATAGACTGTATTCCGGAGAAGAACGAGTTCGAATCGCTCTTCATATGAGGGCTTAATAAACGTATGTGCCTACATCAGTTATCGCAGGAGCACTGACCTCAGCAAATGCGTAGTGGCCCTGGAATTGACCTGACTGGAAAAATCTGAAGACAGGTATCCCTGTTACTTGATGGGTGGAGCTCGGTCATAGTGGTCGTCCGGTCTCTGGGTCTTCCCTATTTTCGTGGTTGGATGGTGAACGACGAAAGCGCTCCGAACGTCATTTGCTGTGAGAAGGCCCCACGTATAATCGCTTCATCATCTGGAGACTAGATATGCCAGCAGTCATTCATTTGAACACTGCTGTGACTCTCTACGTTCCTTCTATTTGGGCCCGTTCTCTGTCGCCTTCCTCGTCTTACTGTTCTCTCATCCTTTGCCTCTGGCTAAGGTCCTTTGCTTCTTCGAATTCTTTAGGGCTCTATCTGGGGCGCCTCTGACTGTTTGTGTTCACTTCTTCCTTCACTATTGATTCAGTTAGCTATTACTGATTCATATTTGGACCTCGGAGCCCACGAACTGAAACCGTGGAATGTGTCTTTAAGTCCACTCCAGCTAAGTCTACCCCCATTTCATAGAGAATGAGATCAAGGCTCCGACGGATGCAAGGATGTCAAAACGTAAACTCAATAAAGCCGCACTTTATTGTGAGGCTAAAAATATAACTTATCGACATTTTTCATGTAATACAAGAAAGTCGACCACGTCCCATTCTCTAAATCCGTTTTCAAGACGTTAAATTTGCAGTTCTGACTCTTCTCGGCAAAGAAAATCTTTTCAGCTGAACCTATCTGGATCAGCAACACCTCCGTCACCACCGGCAGTGTCTGTGTCAGCCAGAGCGTCAGCGTCAACCGATGGAGGCATGCCAACGTGTGAGTGCAGTTCTGACTCCGTTCGATGTCTAATTGAATAAAAAACGGTGAAATTGACAGGTACCGTCGAAGGTCTTCAAGTGGACAGATCTAACCTCCTGGGGGCTTCTTTGGCTATAACGAGCTTTGCCTGGAATTCCTTTCGTATCCCGTCTTCCGACCTCCCCCTTGGCCTAGCTACACGCGTTCCTGATTTTACCGGTTTTCCACTTCCATACCACATTCACGCCAGTTTTTTTTTTGAAAATTCCTCCTCATTTTCCGTAAGAAGCGCCCGTCGAGGGAACGGGTGTATGCCTCTTGGAACAGGAAAAACAAGAGAACTACGCTACACGAAAACGTTTCACTCCAACACAAGTATGCGACCGCCTCCCTCTCGCTAGCGGGGGCAGCGCACGCATGTGAAAGTCCACCTCCCTGTGGGGACCCCAACGTACGAACGTGCCGCTTTACAGCTCTGGTAGCGAATTATGTTTTCGAGGCTAAGGTTTTTGAAAAAATTGTAGAAATGACTGGTATTGCAACTAACTTGAGGAAGCCTGATTGAAGGAACCATTGTGCGAAACTGAGATTATCAATAAAGGATGAAATTATTGGTGAGAAAGCAACCAAGAAGCTCCTTCCGTTAGGTCTGGGCTGTAGTGCTTGTCTCTGTCGAGGTAATCCCAGTTTTGCTCAGGGACTTCTTGAATGCTCCCCTCCTATGGTTATTAGGTGTTTTTTTACAATTCACTTTTGAAAAAGCGATGACGTTAGCGATTCTTCTAGCCGTTTCGGCCGTTTTGTCACGAATATTTTGCGTCCCGCCAGTTTTTGAATTTTTGAATTGAAATGGAGAGTTTTTGTTCGTCCGTGCACCACATTTGGATGGCCATCCTGATTGCTCAATTATATATGGCTAGCTAATAGCAGTCGAAATCGCTCTTATAGCCTGCCCACGTTGAATGGCATCCACTGCGCTTCAAATATCCCATCCATATGAAGCAGGGCACGCCATCGCGTTGTGATCATTTCCTTAAAAAATACGACTCCCTTCCTGATTCTCAAAAGATCCCCACCACTACACTTTAGCCGCACTTTCCTGGATTCTCCCAGCTTCGCTACGCACTTTTTCCCGAAAGATTTCAGTTTTCGCCAAGAATTTCCCCGTCGAACGGGGGGGGGGGGAGGGAGGTCATCAGGAATTTACCTATCATTTTCAACTATCGGAAATAGTAGTTGTATAGATCTTTTCCAGTCCTTCTCGATGTAATCTTTGATAATAATGTAATTTTCAGCACCCTTGTTTTCACCCAGTCGTGCCAATGTTCGTCCTCATTTGTCCAGAATGTATCGTCCTGGAATGCGTAGCCTAGATTCTGGTTTAGACCTCAGCTCACCCACCATTGGACATCATGCTCTATTCATCAAGGAGGTATTTATATTTATCTCTCTCACTTTTTCAACCACATTTATACAATTTAAAAAAAATGCTGAAGTGCTGTGCTTGGATCTGTCGGAACCGGGTCGGAGGAGTGCCATCGTGGTGTTTTCTTTTCGATTTCCAGAGACTTTTCAGGATTTTACGCCAGGATCAGTTTTTGGACTCACCATCAGTCGAATCTCTTGCCTTCTCAGTCTGGACATTTTTTTCCACGAACTGTTCTTTTTTGAAGTTCTAGAGGCATTCCAGTGCGTAGTTTTTCTTACAACTTGAAGGGAAGAAATTTTTTTTGGTAAGCGGCGCCGTTGTGACTAGAATGATCAGCGTACAATATGTGCTATTCGAGTGGTGAGTTTTTCGAGTTTGACTGAGCGAGGCCGAACTCCTCTACCCCTCTCCCCCTCCTCCCCCTTCCATCCCTAAAATAGAAACACTGACTTGAAGGCTGGTTGATCGTAGAAATTAACCACATTGTCCTCAACTTCTAGGTGTTGTAGTGTCCCACCTACCATGCCCGATGGGTTCTGTTCAGGCCAACCAAGCCTTCTACTCCAGGAACGGTAAATTGCTATCAGACTCGTCTGGAAGGATGAAATCCTCGACTTTCACATCGGCTGGCCCTCGCAATTCATTGCACAGACTAATTCGCAGTTAAAGAGCTACTGCGATTCTGATCGGAAGTGGAATGCGTACCGTTTCTCAAAAGAGGACTGATCAGTGACGAAAATCTTAGCCCTTGTCCTCACCAAATGACTTGTGAGTGTCAGGCTGCGCCGACAACCATTGCACCCCGGTGCCTCCCTTCCAGCCGAACTGCCCTGATTGTCCACTATCGAGCCGGTGACCAAGAGATGACTGAATCCTTTAAGTTTTCTCTGGGGTTCTAGTTTCTTTCTGGACGCAGTCTTTCTGCGGCACAGGATAATGCACCCACATGTCAGGTTACGGCCCAAGAACCCCAACTGGAGGCGGGGAACAGCATCGAGTGAAACAGTACTATCTTCTGTCCAAATTTCCTGCTTGGTTACGACCCCAACCTACCTACCGTTTCTCACAGTTTTCTGGTGGTGTACCAATTTTCATTTTTCCGCCAGTTATAGGACGGATGAGGAGGGGTGGGTGCATGGAACGAGAAAATCCCCAATAGGACAAAATTCGATTGCGGTTCTCGGTGTGACCTGACTGGAACACACCTAAGCACACCTTTGTAATTGGAATCCTATTCATGGTAAGATGGTGGGTAGGATTGGGAGGGATGGGGGGGTCGTACCGGAGAACGAAATTCGGGGAGGCCGTATTTCGCAAGAAATTTTCCCCAACGACAATACGCGCCGTGATTGCATGGCATTTCCTTAATGCAACCTTAAAACAACAGCAACCTCTGGATTCAACTCACCCAATATATTTCAATTTTGGAATTAGAATTTTTTTTCCATGGTGGTCCGTTGCGACGACTATGCGGAAAATTGGCATGTTCGCTGACGTTTCCGCTCGAAAGAGCTCAATAAAATCGACTGAACTGCTCGTGAAGCAAAGGGTCTGTCAGTTGAAAGATCTTTGTCTGGCTAGCCAGCGGTGAGAATGGGGTTATACAAGTGGAGCTGAGGCCACTGCGTGTTCGCCAATCGATTTGCTAAGAGACCGAGGGCGGAACACTTTGGGGTGGCTGTGTTGTTAACCAGATGAGCTAGCTGGTTGTTTCAGCAGATCTCATTGTTCTTGGAAAATTTCGACATTCGACAGGATTATTTGTAAGGATTTTTAAACTAGAAATTCAAAGAGTTTTTGGATTTTCCTGCAGCTTTTTATCTTCATTGGTGATTTATGCCCGCTCTTATTAGTAGGCGTAATTGGCTCTGATTGGTTGTACTCGTAGAAACCTCGTGATATTTCTGATTAGTGATAAGTTGAAAGTGTTTTTCGGTCTCTATGGGGCTCTCATTCGTTCACTCGGAATAAGCACTTATCAGTACGGTCAGTGGCGGGCACGACGTGTCAGGTGGAAAATGTAGTTTTTCACTGATAACAGCAGGGTCATAAACTTATCTGAGTTATTTGAATGTCGTGGCGATTCTCTGAAGCAAGTCATAGGTTGATATGGCTGTCTATTGCTCTCGCTTGCAGAACCGAAAATAAAATGATTTTCGTAATTCACGAGGGGCGGTGCCATGAGTTTTTTCTCTCGCTCACCATCCGCTTCAACAACCTCCCCTGCTCGTTCTCTGTTTCTCGCAGTCCCTACACTCAGCCCTTGCTGGCGGAGGGTGTTCATTCTATGATTCCCGATGAGTCAGTTCAACGAATTCGCTTCCAATGACGCAAATGTTCTGAACTATTTTGAGCCATGGTTTGGCTTCCTTGTGCGTCACTATTGTTGTCATCCCCATGACTGCTTTCATTGTTATGGGCCCTTAGTTTGCTCGCTGATGAATTTTCGTTCTGCTGACGTGATCAATGCAGATTCTGCGGGGAAATTAAAACTTTTGCTTACCAGATGGCTACTTTTCCCAGTTGTTATTCATGTGCCGCTCGATTTTGCCCTTGAGAGCTATTTTATTTAAAGTCTTCTTCCCTGAGGGCACATGCCTGTTGTTATTCTCAGAAATAAGCCAAACTAATTGCACACTTCAAGGGCACGTGAGCGAGTGGGAAGTCCTGCGCAAAACTGGGATTATCGGCGCTGTGCAACCTCCTTTTTGCCCAAAGAATTTGATTCACCCACTCAGGAGATCGTTCAATTCTCGGCTTACTTTACTAATTTCGAAATCTCTCTCGAGTGATCCGCAAAAATCACCATATTTTTCCAGATTCATTGGGTTGGCCACTAGCCATTAAAGAGCCTTAGAGCTTGTGGCCTCATGATATGTCTACCAACGAAGCCTTCCTCCTCCTTCCTTTTCCTTTCTCCTTCCT